AGGCAAGGCAGGACGAGACGCAGGCTCACGACGCTCTGTAAGCGAGTCCGTCAGCTCAGTGTAAGGAGAAGGAGCAGGGAGCGGAGAGCCTGGCTGTAACGGGAGGCTAAGAACCTGGCGAAGCGCGGAGTCAGGCGGTGGCAGAGACGAAGGTGACAGCGTAGCGAAGAACAGTCGCTGCTGTGCAGTACCACCAGCACCTCCAGCACCAACCGCACCACCAGCTCCGGCAGCAGCAGTACCTCCAGTACTAGCACCTCCCGGACCAGCAGCTCCAGAACCTCCAGCGCCAGCGCCTCCAGCTCCAGCGCCCACAGTGCCTCCAGCTCGGGCAGCTCCAGCACCTCCAGGACTAGTACCTCCAGGACCAGCAGCTCCAGCTCCAATGTCACCAGCCCCAACGCCTCCAGCGCCAGAGCCTCCAGCTCCAGCGCCTCCAGCTCTAGCGCCTCCAGCTCCAGCACCTCCAGCTCCAGAGTCTCCAGCTCCAGCGCCTCCAGCTCCAGCGCCTCCAGCTCCAGCACCTCCAGCTCCAGCACCTCCAGGTCCAGGGTCTCCAGCTCCAGTGCCTCCAGCACCGGCACCTCCAGCTCCAGGGTCTCCAACTCCAGGGTCGACAGCACCAGCTCCGGTGACTCTAGTAGTAGCACCCCCAGAACCGGCACCTCCAGCTCCAGCAGCACCATCAGTCCTGGCAGCTCCAGTACCTCCAGTACGAGCACCTCCAAAACCAGAAACACCAGCACCCTCAGCGCCTCCACGACGAGCAGCTCCAGGAGCTCCAACCGCACCACCTCAAGCAGCAGTACCTCTAGCAGCAGGACCTCCAGCTCCAGCAGTACGACTCCTCAGGCGGGCACGCCACGCAAGCCAATCTCGTAACTGCTGTGGTGAGAGAGGTCCCCGTCGTGAAAAGCGACCCGGAGAAACACCAACAGACTCAGCACCCCCAGACCTGGCACCCTCCGGCTCAGCACCCCCAAGCTCCGCACTCGTAGGCTCAGCACCCCCAGGCTCAGCACCCCCAGACGCAGCACCCCCCAGCACCTCACGCACAGGCGCAGCACCCCCCAGCACCTCACGCACAGGCCCAGCACCCCCAGACGCAGCACCCCGAGCAGCACGACCCGCAGCAGCACCTGAGTCGCTAGTGACCTCCACAGGCTCAGCCAAGGGGAGTGGGTCTACCTGAGACACACCTGAAGGAACAGGACCCTGAGGAGGAAGGGGGTCTACCGGAGGGGGATCTGGAGCGAGGAAAAGCGGCGGAGGAGGGAGCGGGGCAGTGCGGTAGGGGAAGAGACGGTAGAAAGGAACCGACTTGTCAAAGGTGACGTCCTGAGAGGACAAAACACTGTGCGAGGTGGGGTGGTAAAACTGCCAGCCAGGCGCGTCAGGGGGGAAGCCGAGGAAGACGCAGGGAATGGTGCGGGAGGAGAGCTTGTCCGCGGACGTATCGCGGACAAGGGCACGAGCACCCAAGACCCGGAACACCGACGCATCGCCAACCTCTCCCGTCCAACGCAATGTGGGCGAGGTCTCCGGCAAGGAGACACGGGGCCAGAGGTTGAGCTGCTGCGCGGCGTACCGGACCGCAAACGGCCACAGAAAATGGGGAGCTGCCGCATGGATCAAGGAGGTACGAGCGATCTCCATGACCAAGCCAATGCGGCGCTCAGCAACCCCATTTTGCTGCGGTGAGGCCGGAAGCGTGAACGACTGGAGGATGCCCTCCCCCTGACAGAAGGCCCGCAAGAGGTCGGAGGAGAACTCACCACCTCTGTCGAAGTGCAGACGCAGGACAGGGAGGTCCTGGCGGAACCGCTCGCGGAGCTGGAGACGAACTGCTCGGATCCAAGGGATCAGGACATCAGGGACCTCACCCTTGGTGCGCAAGGGGAAGACCGTGGTGTAACGCGAGTAGTCGTCGACAACCAGCAGAAAGTACCGTGCGCCGCCCTGTCCACGAACGCGAGCTGGGCCCCACACGTCCATGTGGAGGGTCTGCAGAGGAGCCTCTGTCGGGGGAAACGAGGAGGAGTGAGGAGCGGCGCGCTGCCGCCCCTCGACGCAAGGAAGGCAGGGCGTCGCAGGTGAGGGAGGGAGGGGAGGGAGAGACCTGAGAAGACCAGACACAAGAAGGCGACGGTGCATGCCACGTAGACGTGGCAAGGAGGGGTGACCCAGACGGTGGTGCCAGAGAAGAATCTGGTGCGACAGGGAGTGACACGAACAAGGGGAGGCTACCTGACGTGACACAGACACCTGACCAGTATCAGCTACCTGAGGAGGCGCAGTCGTCAGTGTGTAAAGACTCGACCCTGGCCGACGGGTAAACGTGGCCAGGTGGCGGCCGGTCCGGGAGCACGTACAGATCGCCACACGCTGTCCTCCAGGGGTAAAGGTGTCAACCGACTAGTCCTGGAGAACTGCGTTGCTCACCAAGTTCGTAGAGAACGAGGGGAGGTGGAGGCCTGACAGTGAGCCAGACGGAACCGCCGGGCACGGGAGCACAGTGGTGGACCGTGCAAGAACTGGGCCCCCTGAGGGGTCAGCCAGAGAGACTGCAACAGGTGCAGTGAGTGGTGTGAGTGCAGTACTGTCACGAAAGAAACAGCGGAAAGCACCTGAGTCAAGCGTGAAGGTGTGCAAGGCCTCAGCAGGCGCAGTACCTGAGAGAGCAGACTCTCTCGCACCTAAGGCAGCAGCCTCTATACCTGGGTCAGGCGGCACACACAAGTAATAGTCTCCCTCAGCACTAACAGTTAATGCATACATGGTAGCAAGGATAGCATCATATTCAAGAGCAAAGACGTCTACACCAGCCCTAAGCAGCTCATGCCAGCGACGGCGCTCGACCTCCTCGCCCATCTCCTCACGCCAGGCGTCGTCAAGGCGGTAGAAGCAGCGGTGCTGGGTGTGGAACTTCCCGCATGTCTGACCAGCGCGGTCACCTGTGCGAATGACATACGGGCAGCGACCACTACCCCCAGACGTCCCACGCTGAGCAAGCCACTCACGAAGCTGTTGCGGCGTAAGAGCCTCACGGGGACGCTGCTGCTGCTGCTGTCTCTGGCCAGCGCCAGCGCCTCCGCCCCGACCGCCACCGCCGCCGCCACCGCCGCCCCGACCGCCACCGCCACCGCCACTGCTGCCGCCACCCCCTCCGCCGCCACCGCCTCCACCGCCACTCCCACCGCCGCCACCGACGCCACCACTCCCGCCAGCACTCCCGCCACCACTCCCTCCGCCACCTCCTCCTCCTCCACCTCCTCCACCACCACCCCCCCCGGTGCCACCTCCGCTGCCCTTGGCTCCCTTGCCCTTGCCGCTGCGGCGCCTCCCACTAGGAGCAGAAGCAGCACCAACAGACTCAGCACCAAGGTAGTCAACAGCAGCGGCAGTAGCGTAGGAGGGGACAAGGGGAGAGGGAGAGCAGCACCTACAGTGACTATGCTAGTCTCGGCGGCTAGAAGCTGCTCCTCTAGGAGGTCGACAGTGAGATCGGTGGGAGAGCGAGCGAGAAAGTGGTCCCTGACCGAGCGAAGAGAGTCAGGGAGACGGGTCACTATGAAGTGGAGGGTCCAGTACATCGGAGGCGGGTTCTTAGCTAAGAACTCTTTGAGAAGGGCGGCGCGTAGGCGAGTGTCACTAGTGCGAAGGTGGGTGATAAGATCGGCAACTGTGGCAAAGGTGGACAGCTCAGGAAACAGGTAGGGCAGCATGAGGCGGCTAAGTGCAGCAGTGGCAGGGGAGGAGTATCGAGTAACTACAGCATCGTACAGGGCCTTAGCGGTTTTGTGTTCGCCAAAATGTGTGAGCTCGGCTAACGGCAGGTGGTTGCGAACGGCTAGGCGAGCTGCAGCGTCACGAGTCTGCCACTGGGAACGGGCGCTAAGCTCAGCTGTGGCAGCAGGAGCGACTGAGGCACCAGACGTGTGGTCAAAGAGAGAGACATTATCCTTGCTATCGCTCATTAGGAACAGCTGCAGGTCATCGAGCCAGGTCTCAAACTGAATCGGGCGGCCCTCAGTATCGAACGACAGAACGCGGAGGGTGGCCATAGCTGCTGGCGCGGGACTGGCAGGCAGGCAAGCAGCAGTAGCACTAGCAGCAGCAATAGTAGAAGCAGCAGTGCAGTAGTAGAAACTGGTCTGCCAGGCAACTAGGCAGCGCGGCGCGGCTCAGCAGGGCGGCGCGGCTCAGCAGGGCGGCTCGGGCGGTGCAGCGCGGCTCGGGCGGTGCAGCGCGGCTCGGGCGGTGCAGCGCGGCTCGGGTGGTGCAGCGCGGCTCGGGCACGGTGGGGCAGTGCGGCGCTGGCAGCAGCAGCAGCGTAGCAGTGGCTGCAGCGCTGGCAGGGCGAGCAGGGCGCAGGGCAGCGCGGGCAGGGCTCTTAGGGCCGCGCGCTGACTGTGCAGGCAGATCGCGGGCAGGGCGGGCCTTAGGGGCAGCGCGCAGGCGACGCCAGCGGCGCACGGGCAGCGGGCGAGCAGGGCGTGCAGTGCGCGGGCAGGGCGCCGGCTGTGCAGGCCGCGCGCGGGCAGGAAACGCAGCGCGCGGGCAGCGCGCGGGCAGCAGCAGCAGCGCGCGGGCAGCGCAGGCAGCTAGCAGGCAGGGCGCGCGTAGGCCTGAGGAAGCGCGCTAGCAGGGCAGCGTGAGCGGGTCGCGCACTAGGCAGCTGTGCAGGGAGCGCAATGGGCAGGGCAGGCCGTGCAGGGCAGTGCAAGCAGGGCAGTGGGGTAACGCGGTAACCGCAGTCGGAATGGTGGGCCCGGAAAAAAAAAAAAAAAACCGTCCTACGGACCTACTGCTCTGAAACCATGTCAGAATGAGAAGCTAGAATGACTGCATTGAAAGAATTGTGGGTACAAGTACTAACACTAACATTGGGTTGTACCCAATACAGGCTACCCCACTATAGCCTACACAGAACTAGCACATATATAGTTTGACACTTATCTCCAGTTCACTTCACCTCCTGTCCTTTTTCCCTGACTCCCCTACCATTCACTCCCCTCCCCTTCACTACCCTCTCTTTCCTCCCCTTCACTCCACTCATCCTCCTCCTCTGTCCCCACTTCCTCTTCATCCTCTTCCTCCCTATCCTCCTCCTCCCCATACCCTTTCTCCTCATCCTCTTTCTCCCACATCCTCTTTCTCCCCATCCTCCTCCTCCCCATCCTCTTCCTCCCAATCCTCTTCCTCCCCATCCTCTTCCTCCAATCCTCTTCCTCCCCATCCTCTTCCTCCCCATCCTCTTCCCTCCCCATCCTCTTCCTCCCCATCCTCTTTCTCCCCATCCTCTTCCTCCCTATCCTCTTTCTCCCCATCCTCTTTCTACCATCCCCTTCCTCCCCATCCTCTTCCTTCCCATCCTCTTCCTTCCCCATCCTCTTCCTCCCCATCCTCTTTCTCCCATCCTCTTCTACCCCATCCACTTTCTCCCCATCTTCTTCCTTCCCATCCTCTTTCTCCCCATCTTCTTCCTTCCCATCCTCTTCCTCCCCATCCCCTTCCTCATCCTCGTCCTTCCCACCTTCTGGCACCGAATCATCCCGTCCCTCTAAGGCACCCACAGCACGCTCTCCCTCGTCCAGGTTGTAAACCACCATCCTCCGTTCATTCCCCACCACCGGGCAGTCATTCACATAGCACGTCTGCAGCCTCCCCATCTGCTGCAGCCCCCTGGGTAACCGGGCCAGCCGATTGCATCCGTACAGGTACAAGTCCTCCAATCCGGGCAGCTGCGAAAACTTATTGGGCAGGCTGCGGACATTGGGCAGGAACAGCAAAGAGAGGCTCACGAGAGAAGAGAGCTTCCAGAAGTCATGAGGAATGCTCGAGATTCCGATAGTGCACAAACCACACCGCTGCAGTCCGCAGAGGTCAGGGAAGGACTCGGGAAGCCTGGTTAGTCCTCGGCTGTTTTGGATCTGAAAAGACTGAAGCTTCTTCAGCTGCCCGATTGATTTGGGCAGCTCAGTCAAGCCCATAAGACCGTTCAAATGGAGGGATGTGAGTGCTGAGAGCTTCCCTATTGTCTCTGGCAGAGCTAGCAGGCTTTTGGCATGGGTGATCGTCAATGACTGCAAGTGAGAGAGGCGAGAGATGGAGTCTGGGAGCAATTGGAGGCGATCCATGTCTCGGATTTGCAGGCTTGTTAGCGACGGGAGGCATCCCAGCCATGGACCGAGCTGCTGCACTGGAAGCTCTGCGAGTTCAAGGACCTCCAGGGATGGCAGCAACACACTCATACCACTCTCCTCAGACCCCCCACAGCTGCCAGCGGCACTGCTGCTACCTGTGCGACCGACTAGCTCCAGACGGGCGATTCTTCCCGCACACTCTTGCCCAGCGGCTCCCGTGCGTGCACCCCCCGTGCGTGCACCCCCCTGGTCTTCATCCCCAAACAGCGACTCCAGCGCGCTGCAGGAACTCACTTGCAGAGATTTCAACCGCTGCAGCTGATACAGCGAGCGAGGGAGCGACTTCAGGTTAGGTAGTTGTAAGAGCTTGAGCCTTTCAAGGTCTCCCAGCTGTCCGATCTCCTCTGGCAGCGCCTTGATTCGCGAGGACCTGGCGACCACAAGGCTGGTGAGAGTGCGGGCGAAGGCAGGGAGGGAGGCATTCAGGGAGGAGAGAGAGAGCTCCTTGAGGCTTGTCAAGTGGGACAGCCTGCCTGGTAGCGTGCCTCGTAAGCTGGTTGCTTCACAGATTGCTAGGATTCGCAGGGACGCGAGGCTGGAGAAGGATGGAGGGAGGTGGGCGAGAGCCGTGCAGTCGAGTAGATACAGTCTGCGCAGGCTATGCAGGCCATCCCCCATGCCGTGCGGTAGCGATCTCAGCTTGCAGCAGTCATTGATTTGCAGCAGCTCGAGGGAAGATAGCTGACTCAGGGAGTCCGGAAGCTGCGTCAGCAGGCTGCATGCGGCTATAATCAGCTCCTTGAGGTTCTTCAGGTTGCCAAGCGACGCGGGCAGGCTGCTGAGCTGAGGAAGCTTAACTAAGCGCAGCGTCTCCAGGACAGTTAGCTGCCCGAAATCCTCGGGCAGAGATTGAAGAGCTCTGGAGTTTTCCAGTGTGAGTTTCTTGAGTGAAGTGGCAAGGGTTATGGAGGGAGGCAGATGCGCGAGATTTTCGACGCCTAGCTTGAGCGTATGTAGGTGTGGCAGAAAACCGACGTCGCCTGGCAGATGACGGAGTGGTAGGCCGGCGAGATTGTGGTCCGTCAGGGAAGACAGATGGGAAAGGGAGGTGGGGAAGGATGCTGAATCGCCGCAGTAGGTTACTGAAAGGAGCCGCAGCCGCTGCAGCTGCCCGAGACAGGCGGGCAGGTCGGTAATCCCCCCAACCTCCTCCAAACGTAGTTTTTCAAGCGCCGGCATGTTTCCAAAACTCTCGGGCAGCGGTGCAAGGTCTGAGCAGTTGGAAATTTCGAGCGTCAGCAGGGACGAGAGATTCGAGATAGAACCGGGCAGCTGAAGCCTTGTCCTGGAACCGCTGATGGAAAGATGTGTCAAGTTGGTTAGCTGCCCGAAAGAATCGGGAATGGAGCTGAGCCGCATGCAGTCGTTCAGCTGCAGCGACTTGAGCAGCCTCAGGTTACCGAAGCCCTGGGGCAGTTCATCCAGGCCGTACATTTCGATTATGAGATGCGTGAGTGAATGCAACGAGGTGAACGCGTCTGGAAGGAGAGCAATTTCCCTGTCGGTGATGTGCAGGCTCTTGAGTGACGCAAGGCCGCCGATGGAAGAGGGAATGGCGGTCAGATTCGACTGACAATCAAGACGAAGTCCCTCCAGCCGTGTGCATTTCTTAAAAAGATACGAAAGACCGTTCTCAGTGAACCCCCCGCGTACGTTCCGTCGTTTCATCGTATCGACGTGGAGGTCCGTCAGATCTGAACACTTGTCAGAAATCCCTGAGAGGAGGGAGTCAGGGACGGACGTGATGCTGCCGTTGGCGAGGACGAGCTTTCGGAGCCTTGGGAATGACGAGAGGAGCTCGAGCAGCTCATGGGGACGCATGCGACGCTTTTCGCGAATCTGGATATGGTCGTGCACGCTATGGGTGATTCTAAGCCATTCCTTGCACACAAGCGCGTGCTGGAACTGGCCGTCGGATTGACCGACGAAACGAAAGACAACGGAGAGAAGATCGTCTGACAGCCGTCCGATTGGTGATGCAGCATGCATTCTGTCTAATAGATTAGTTGCAATGGGGCTAAAGTGAATGCTCGAAGACTAATAAGGTCGCTGTGAGAGTCCGCAAACGAGTTCACGAATAGCATCGAATTTTCAGCTGGCGTGGGAATCCCTAGTCAAGAAAAGTATCTGAGAAAGTCGCTGTGGGAGTTCTTGTGCAAGAAAAGTGTCGGTGAGAAGTCGCTGTGGGAGTTCTTATGCAATAACGTCTCTGTGGGAAAGCCGCTCTGGGACTCTTACGCAAAAAAAGTATGTCTGGGGGAATCGCTGCGTGAATCGTTAGGCAAGAAAGGCTCTGGGAGAGTCAACGTGGGAGTTCCAGGGCAAGCAAGTCTCTGAGAGTCGCTCTGGCAGATGGGCAATCCCTAGGCTGGATCCCAAGCACCGATGTTGCGTGAACCCCCCGCCTCTGCCGCAAGAACCGCTGTAGCAATTGACAAACTCGTGTGCAGGAAACGGAGGGGAGACGAATTGACTTGTAACCTCAGACCGGTTCAGGGTTTCGGGTTTAGATAATTTAAAGCCCGAGGTCAGCATGGCAAAGCGTTTTTTGTTTCTAGGGTTTTAAACACTAGCTGGAAGAGTAGCGAGAACTGTTTTCGTTGAGAGTACCCTCGCGAAGCAAAACACAGGTTCGCCACACATGTTTGTTTTCGACAAAAGGTGATTTGGCGACCAAGCATACGACCCGTCAGGTGCCAAGGGGCGCAGCCAATCAGGATGGTGGAATTGATAGCTCAAACAAGCACAAGCAGGGCAACCAATCAGGGTAGGGACAACAAGAAAACGGGGGAATACAACTCGGTGATGGGATGATACAACTCGTGAGTCAAACAGTTCGTGTGCAACCCGCTTACCAACCTTACTAGTAGGACTGGAGCAGAGTAAGAAAATCGGTGCGACAGAACAGCTAACAACTCATTCAGTCGCTTTAGAATCCGACCATCGCGCACCAGCTAGGGTTTTTTAGTGAACACAATTTACGTTACTTGAATTAGTAGATGCAGCGCGTATATGCAAACGAAAGGAAGCGCAGGCGCAAGATTCGAGTGTGAAGCCCGGAAAAAATGGGTGTGAGGAGAAGAGAAAGGGTCGCTTTGCCTACCTCGCGACCCTCGCCCGTCGCCCTTGCTTTCTCCGCCCACTGCCCTCGCCCCGCCCGTCGCCCTCGCCGCCTCGTCGCCCGTCGCCCTCGCTTCCTCCTCCCGCCCTCGCTTCCTCCGCCCGCGCGCTTCTCCCATACCGTCGACCTCGCTTCCCTCGCCCATCCCCCTCGCTTCCCCCGCCTGTCGCTCTCGCTTTCCCCGCCTACCACACTCGCCTCTCCCTCCGCCCTCGCTGCCTCCCCGCCCGTCGCCCTCGCTTTCTCCGCCCATCTACCTCGCTTTCCCCCGCCCGTCGCCCTCACTTCCCCGCCCCATCGCTCGCCCCTTCAATCGCTGCTGCTTCTTTTTTGCACAGGCCCCAATAGATTTCGTAGCGTAGATATCCCCTACTGTTTTATTCTTCCCTATCACACTTACTACCTGATTAAAAAATAATACACTAACTTGAACAACTCCATTTAGCTAAGATCTCAGGCTGAAACAAAGGAGAAAACAAAGGAGAAAACAAAAGAAAAAACAAAAGAAAACAAAACAAAAAATAAAAACCAAACAAAAGACTGCAAGTCACATAAGTTCAACATGTCTACTCGATTTTTATTTTTTATTTTTTGCGGAGCAACCAAGCCCTATGATTCACTTTTAGGAAGCCTAGTATTAAAAAGCGAACTGAGGACTAAGTACTAAGGAGATTAGGTTTAGCCATAGCGAGAGTTACGAGCAGGGCTCTAGATTGGTTTTGGGCCACCCTTTGTAATCAGGGTTCTAGGTAGTCCCAACCCTGACCCATAGGGTAAAAAATCTCGTTCCCTGACAAAGTCAGGGTAAAAAAACTAACAGTCTGTTTGGGCAGGGTAACTCTCCTGGTGTACGTTAATTATTATTTAAAAACTGAATGCCGATTTTCCAGTACTTAGTGGCTCAGTTGATATGACTTCGGCTTAGATCCGTAGTCTATAGATCCGTAGTTGTGATCGAACCCTGTACAGTCAGAGAAACAAATCCCTTACGCTGTTTTTCAAAGGGTAAAAAAAAACTTACACTTTCTGGCCTAGGGTAAAAATCCCATTACCCTTCCTGGGAAAGGTTAACTGAAAAAAAGCGGCCGCCAGTCAGGGCAATCAGGGTGTTTTACCCTGATAACGAGAGCCCTGGTTACGAGAGGCACGAGCAGGAGGGAATTGGCCAAAAGATGTGTTTCACTATGGTGCACAAACAAGATATATGAAAGTAGCAAGGGAGGTGCACCACCAATGTAAATAAACTAGAACAAACAGCAAGCAGGGTATATATAACTATAACACACCCCCTTAACTTGCTTGCGTTATGAGCTTGTGAAGTCACTGAGGACTAGAAGAAGCAGGGGAAACAGCAACACATATCGGCCATGAAAAATGCAACAACGGCAGGTACAGGACTCGACAGGTGGGCGTGAGAGCAAGTGACGTGAGCTACAACTAGCAGCAGGACACCACGGCTCAGTACCTGCGGGGGTCTGCCTGGAACAGGGAGCAGTTGCAGTGATGGCAGATGGAGCTACAGTAACCTCAGCCACGGCAGATGCAGCAACGACAGATGCACGACCCGGTAGGTGGGCGTGAGAGCAGGGGCTCTGGCTGCAACGAGCAGCAGGACAGCAGGGCTCAACACCTCCAGGGGCGTGCCTGCTACAAGCAGCGGCTGTAGATGCCCGACTTGCTTCTGCCACCCCCTCACCCTCCCACTCAACCTCTCACCCTCCCCCCTCCCACGGCGACAAGCCCTGCAGGGGGGAGATGAGGGGGTGGCGGGGCGTACTCTGCTGCTAGTGCTGGCATCAGCGATGGCGTTGACTGAAGGCGCTTGTGCTGGCGTTGGCGCACGCGACCGTACGCAGCTGCGCGCGACCGTACGGGGCTGCGCGCGGCCGCGTGGCTGCGCGCGGCCGTACGGAGCTGGGCGCGGATGGGACGAGTTGCGCGCGGACGGGACGGGCGGCGCGTGGGGGAGAACAAGCTGCACGCAGGGCAAAACGGGCTGCGCGCGGGCAAAACGGGCTGCGCGCGGGCAAAACGGGCTGCGTGCGGGATGCATCGTGCTGCGTAACGAGTGGGTCCATGTCTCTGAAAAGGACAGGAAGGTTCCAGGATGGAACGTGTTCTGACACCATGTTAAAAAGCGAACTGAGGACTAAGAACTAAGGACATTAGGTTTAGCCATAGCGAGAGTTATGAGAGGCACGAGCAGGAGGGAATTGGCCAAAAGAGGTGTTTTACTATGGTGCACAAACAAGATAATGGAAGTAGCAAGGGAGGTGTCGAGAGTAAAGGGAAAGGTGAATGTACTATCGAGAAAGTTGGGTACAAGTAACAAAAACTATACCCTACATTAGCTACCCCACAAAAGCCTACATTTTATTATGACATAGGCATATAATTTGACACACCCCCATAGGAAAAGTGGGGGAGAGCAAGGGGTCACAAGACCAGTCAAGAGAAGCAAAGCAAGCTCAGGGTGGATCACAACGTCACCACACACACTGAGCACAAGCAAAGGGCCACAAGGCCAGTTCACATGCAGAGGTATATATGCAACAACAACAGTACAGTGATCTCAACCTAGCAGAGAAAACATGCAGGTATATATATAGATCACAGTACAAGCAAAGTCTACAGCAAGTGAGGAAAAGTGGGCACAAGGCCTAACAAAGTGCAGAAACGCTGATGATCGCCAGACGGAAGTGCCTTGGTGAATATATCAGCAGTGTTGGCCCGAGTGGCCATGTGAGCAAGACGAAGCTGACCACGCTGCTGCAACTCTCGAGCCAAGAAGTAACGCAGAGCGACGTGCTTCGTTCTGTGCTCCAGTCTGTGCTCCTCACACAAGGCAATGGCGGCCTTGTTGTCGACGTACAGCAGTGGAGGAGAACGAGGCCGCTCTCCCAAGTCGGTCAGCAGGTAGGTGAGCCAGCGTAACTCCTGTGCAGCCATGGCTGTGGCGTAGATCTCAGCCTCGCAACTGGAGCTGAGAACTGAAGACGAGCGTGTAGAACGCCAAGAAACTGAACCAAAACTAAGGCTGAAGGTGTAACCCTGTGAC